CTGTACTATAGCGAAAACTGTCAGTCACAGTGCAAGAAGAATAGTGCAGTGATTAGTATCTGGCATGAATAAAGCTATTTCTACTGTAAGCACCAACACAGTGGGCATAGGATCCTAAACATTTCATGTAACTGACTGCATTTGTGCTGTTTATTAATTTTTTTTCCCTGGAGTTCCACTTTAAGCCCTCATTCACACTGGAATCGGCCTGCACATACAGGTCCGTGCTGCGTGCAGGGCCGTATCGGGCAGCTCCCGGTAAGGACAGGTGCTGCGTGTGATTAGTACGCAGCCCCCGTCCTTCTCTAGGGGGCTATGCGGTCATATGCCCCCCTACGCTCACTTCAAGTGCTGGTCCACAGGGGTGCGTCTTTCCTGGCTCCATCATGTCAGTGTACGAGTATGCTCACCCGCACCCGCAGGAACGTGCATGGCGGGTGAGCATAGGGGGGCATACAGCCGCGTAGTCCCATAGAGAAGGATGGGGGTTGAGTACTTACCACTCGCAGCACCTGTCCTTCCCGGGAGCTGCTCGGCACAGCCCTGCACGGAGCTGTACGTGCGGGACGATTCCAGTGTGAATGAGGGCTAAAGTGAACCTTTTGCTTCGCCCTGCATAGACAAAAGCACAGATTCCCATTACATACTTTTATTAAGTGGAAATAAGTGTGCCAGGCAACTGCCATTTTTAGAAGTCAGCAATGACACCCTCTTCGTTTCCTTCAGTAAAGCTCTCCCTAAACTTGATTGGGTCTTGGAAGAGAATGGAAATGTGAAAAACTGGTGTAATTCTTTCACTTTTTAGTATATCGTTCCCCTCAAATGACTACATTCTGTGTCACTGCCCTTAGTCTCAATGGATGTTTGCATTTCATGTAGAAGAAATCACATGTGTTCCACATGTCATCTAATGTTCTTACCTATTCGGGTGTTTCCTTCATTGCCAGCCTGAAAAGAAAAGACAGACAGAGAGCATTAGTTTTATTTAACTGCGTGGACAGTTCACGGTTAACAGCACACTGCATGCTCTGTGCTGAGCAGAAAACCAAAATTGCTCCAGGCAACTTTTAAGTTTACTGGTGGGTTTTTCTTGCTCAATAAACATCTGTCTTACCACCTATAGTCCATGGGCTTTCATAATGTGTTTAACATAGATAGGTCAACCCAAGAAATCTTAGCAATGACTACACCATTCAATAAATCACTGAGGCTGAGCCAACAAACCCAGTAGCCAAAGGCCTTAAAATTAATTAACTATTCCTGTGGGTGCTTCAGACCTCTGATGGAAAAATCAATCACATCCTGTTAATTCATGAATACATTTTCTAACAGTGTAACTAGCTGGGAACAAAGCCAGACACCAAATGCACCAAACTTACAGTAACTAGCCATGTACAGAACATTCACAGACATTTTTTTTCTTTTTGGTTAAAGGGTTAGTCCGTCCAAAAGTTATAGTTTTAGGTGGAGTCTAGTGGTCCACTCCTGCCTTCTTATTTGTCTTGGATGCTACAGCAAGATCTGCAACCCCCCTCTGCCGATCCCTGCACTGGCTTCCAATAGCCCAAAGGATAAAATTCTAAATATTAACAATGACTTACAAAGCCATCCACAACTCTGCCGCCGGATATATCTCAAACCTAGTCTCAAAGTATCACCCTAACCGTCCCCTCCGCTCTTCAAAAGACCTCCTGCTTTTCAGCTCCCTCGTCAACTCCTCCCATGCTTGACTCCAGGACTTCACTAGAGTCTCTCCCATCCTCTGGAAATCTTTACCCCAACCTGTCCATCTATCTCCCACTCTGCCTGCCTTTAGGCGATCCCTTAAGACTCATCTCTTCAGGGTAGCCTATCCCACCTCAACCTAATCACTCAACCATCACGTTCTCAAAACAATTCATCCCCACACAGCTACCTCCTCATGTATCACTTCCCCCTCCCTTTTAGATTGTAAGCCCTCACGGGCAGGGCCCTCCTTACCATCTTGTCTTGAGTTGTATTGTGATTGTAATGTATTTCTTATATTGTAAAGAGCTGCAAAAACTGTTGGCGCTATATAAATCCTGTATAATAATAATAATAATCTCCCTGCCCTAATACCCAACTCTGTTCCTGTCCACCTAAAAGTTTGCTCCCACCAGCACCAGTGTGTTCCAGCACCTCCTGTTAACTTCTCCGTCATGTAAACTAAATAAAAAGTTCAACTGGTGAAATGGAACCCCTCATGATGGCTCCAGCAGATGGGCAGCCCTAAAAACAGAGATTTCACCAAAGAACACCTTTAGGAGATTTAGGAAACTGTCAGGTCAGCTAACTCAGCATATACCAAAATTGAAGTACCAGTTCTGGGTGTACCAACCCTTTAAAGGGAAATTAAGCAATGTTTGAGGGTATTACATACAATCTAATCTAGAGCATAGAACTTCAAATCATGTGAAACTGAACTTGTCAGGCAGGGGGAGCTTTTAGGCTGGATCTGTCAAGAAGGCTACATCTTAGTACTGACACGTGTAGCAGCTACTCTACATTATATTTAAACATGACCATCCTTTGCTTATTTTGGCAGAGATCACCATCATCTGCAAATGAGTGCACATATTTGAAGCAAGCTTAATATTCACAAGCAAACAAATACAATTTTGTTAGCGGGGTTTACAAAAGTTTAAGCAAAGAGCAAACTGAGCTGTTGTTCCTAATAACCAGATCTCGGGTCTTCTATAAATGGCACGGTGAGAAATGAAGAAAGTCATTTGTTGCTATGGGCAACATATCAACTTCTTTATAGGCTATTTATTTTATTTTTAGCGTCTGACTTGAATTTATAGTGCACTTTAAGCACAATTTAAATTTTACTTTATTTGTGTAGTGCCAATCCACAGTCTGCATTTCTTCGGATATAGCCAATCCTATTGAGATTTATTTCTAAATTGTCAAAAGTTCCTCCACCATGGGTAAATGCAGCCTCAATGCTTGCACCTGCACTGGCACCAGCAGGTGAAGCATGACTTAAATGCATAGGTTTGGCCAGAACACGTGCAATTATTTAGCGCGGCTTTCAAATGCAAAAGCAGCGGTAAGAAATAAAAACCTATCTACACAAGCCCTAATTTTCAGCATGCTACTTCTGAGCATTGGACCAACAGTAAAATCTTTATAAAAGATAATAATTGATATATGTGTCCAACAAGCACTAACACACAAGTTTTTCTTTATGCTTGGCTTAAAGTAGTCACATGATGGCAAATTATCACCAAACTGTTACACAGTAAAAAAAATCCATAATGTTAAAGAACAGAACAAAATTGTGCAAAGAAAAATTTCAAATTGAGATTTCACTTACTTGTTCAGCTGAAGTCTTGCCATCTATTAGCACCACAACTACTATAAGCCAAAGTGACAGAAGAACCATCACGAGTCCGGTAACGTCTACAGCTAATCCTCCACAAAAATGTGTTCACACACACAAAAAAAAAGAGATGCTTTAAGGAATAGATCTAAAGAAATGTCCTCAGGAGCACATCTGAATGAATCAATGTACTTTCCTTCCCTTATTCTTGCTTGCTTCTGTAATATTTGCACTCAGGTCCCTGAGGACCAGTCTCTAGGTTGGAACGTTTCAATGGGAGTGTCGTAGGGTACTTCTAAAGCAGGTCCTGAGAAGTAGACAAGACTTGTCAAACGATTAAAATTAGTACTACTAAAGGGGGGGAATTAGAGTCATTTAAAGGAAAAGTCTTTCCAGTCTGAGTGTTACTTTAATAGACAAGAAGAGCTAAAGTTGAACTGGCCCTTTGAATCAGACAGGGAGAAAGGCAGGCAGTCACAACTTTTCAGCCTGCTCCTTTTTAATAGGTGCCCTAATATAAAGTTAAAACTCTCTGCCCAGGATAAATAAGGGTGGTATATAAAAGGTGTTTACTAACTGTAAACTTTCCAGTTAAAGCAGCAACTAAAAGGAGATCTAAATGTAAGAGAGCAAAAGAAAGCAAAGCCTGCAAGAGGAAGAGGAGGAGGGAGAGGGAGAGAGTCAATGTGTGACTCTATTGCTCAGAGAGCTGTCTCTGCTTTCCCCCTGCAGCCTCCCAAAGATCTAATACGGGTCTGGCAAACACCTCCCCCAGAACACGTCAACCTCCCCCTCCTTCTTCTGTGTGAAACAATCCACAGATGCAAATCATCAACTAACTGCTGGGATACAGTAGATTCTTATAGAACACAGCTTTCATGATCCTATGGAAATGACCGTATACATACTGGCACCAGTTAGCCTTGATTTTAACTATATCAGGAAATGGTTGTGTGTCTGACTTCATTGATTAAAGGCCAAGTCAGAAAAAAGATTTTTGCATATTCAGCTGCCAAATTCTTATCATAGCTCCATCATCTTGGTGGAGAGCCTGTGTGATTTTGTCTTCTGACATAAGCAATGCACCTTTCACTGAGTTCCATGTTGAAACTAATAGTTCCTGGTTATCTGTCTTTTGAAAGGGCTGCCCCTCTTTGAACGCAAATGCTTCTCTTGTTCCTCCTCTGTCTCTTTCCTTTTCAGATAATGATTATTTTGGTCTGATATATGAATAGAATTTAAAGCCTATCTCTAACCAAAATATTTTATAGTTTTATCAAGGACTGGAGAAGGGTTGCAACATCTACAAGGTTTTTATTCTTGTCTGTGAGTCTGTGACTCCATTATAGAAATGTATTCTCATGTTCTGTGTCTGTGACACTTAGAACTAGGAATTAGGGCAAAGGTATTGCCAGCACAGGAAAATACAGACAGCAACATCAAATCAACTGACTTGATAGGGATGGGTCCTTTGTTTATATAATTCATGCCTAAAGATCTCCCTGTTTCCCATTTTAAAAAGTTGGGAAGTAGGGTAATGATTCTGTAATAATAAACCTAATGAGGGATTTATAAAACTGGCTATAGGTATTAGGGGACAGTCAGACATGCAGGCATAATCGGAATGCCACCAGGGTGAATACTCTTCATAGCACCTTGAGCTTTCAATAAATTTGTATGCCCCACACTAATGAATGAAAGGTTATATGAGGGGGCAGGAAGCAGATTGTGACTGATCCTTTCCTTTTAAATGACCATACATGGGAGATCTCTCACTAGGAGCAGGTGGTAGACCATTGTTCTTATCATCACACAGTTAAGTGCCAGTTTCTCTGCCCTGCCTAGCTAGTGGTAGTTGTGATGTGTATGAAGTGAATGGTGTGATCCTTCTTCAAGAACAGAACTAAGCTATCAGCATGTGTCTGTTAAAGGCACTGCAGTCTTAGCTGTGCCAGTCTCGGTCTGGGCAAAAACTGGGGTGCAAGACAGCATTTCCAATGGCAATTTATCATTAGCACTTAATAGTAAACCCTTTAGGTCAGTGGTTCTCAACCTGTGTAACCTCGGAACCCACATTTGACCTTGGCCATTAATTCATGACCCAAGTCTCACCGCACCGGAATGCACAACATTGCGGTGCCACACAGGGTACAGGGTTCTGTGCTGTGACGGAGCTCCATCCATCTATGCATTGCTGGTACAACTCCCTTGCGTGCCCTGTGGAGGTGCTGGGAGCCAGATAGTGACATCACACCGGTCCAGGCACCTCTACAGGACACGTGAGGGAGCTGTAAGCAATGCACGTATGGATGGAGCTCCCTCACCCCACCCCACCCCACCTCAAGCTTACACTCGGCGCCGGGCAGCATATTTTGAATGGCTGCTTGGCATGAGAACTGACAGTGCTGCGCTAGGGGGAGGCTGAGGAGCCGTTCACTTAGAAAAGTGGAAGGCATGTGGTGACCCACTGAACATGGGGTTGCGACCCACTTTTGGGTCACGAGCCACCAGTTGAGAACCAAGGCTTTAGGTGACCCAGGTATTATAAATTATGCTTTTCAAATATTATATATTATTTAATATACTCAATTAATTATTATATTGTCACAGTTAGACCTAAGAGTCCCTAACATTTTCAAATATCATAAAACCACCCAGATTGCACAACAATCCATACTTTATGCAGGTATGTAATGAATCAAAGTTTGCAAATCTACACTGACAAAGCTGCAATCTAGTGACTCAAACCTAGTCTTTATATTTAACAAGCTGGCTTTCCTCCTAGGAATACCACCTATGGTATTCCATTGGCGGTCACTTAAGGGTTTTTATTGTATAGGCCATCCTTTAAATCAAGAGGTTATATACCCAGTAAACATGTCTCTTATCAAATCAAACTTTAAGATTCTTTTTAAATGGTTACAACAAGGCTGTCTAAGATGGGAAATCTCCCTGGGAAATCTTTGGACAGTTTCTGATTATGTGCACAACAAGGAACTATGGTTCATATATGCTAGGCAGTAGGAACAACTGAACAGATATTGGGACAAGACTATATGCTTTTATTATATAAATGAATACAAACATTCAAGTAACATATTACTGAATAGGCTGACCTTGGGAATCTCATTCTCAAAGTGTAAACTTCTTTATATTTTCGCTGCTAAAATCTCTATAGCAAGGTTGTGGAAATCCTAGATGATACACCTTGCTATAACAAAGGCCAAAATCTCATAGATCAATATTGATGAAACAATGGTAAGCATCTTAAATAATAAACACTTGCAATTTGAGATGACCTTGGGTCCCTGGACCAGGTAGATTTAATGAAAACAGCTCCCTGTACTTATTATCAAGACAGGACCATGGGAAGAGCATATCACTAATTGTAGCTAACCTTAGTGAACTTTAGTAGGTAACACAGAAGCTCTGGGGAATGTAACCTTTTATATTCTTTATCTAACTCTTTTTTTTCTATTCACCGTTGGCCATTTTAGACATGGAATCCAACCCTTGGACACCGTGGGGGGAATTTATCAAAACTGGAACAGACAAAATTGGAGCAAATTTGCACTGCAACCAATCAGCTCCCCTGTCTCATTTTCAAATCTTACCTGAGCAAACTGAAGAGAGATGCTGATTGGTTGCCATAGGCAACTGCTCCAGATTCTGTCTGCTCCAGTTTTGATAAATTCCCCAATTTATGTTTTCTTAACAACTGGCTAGAGAGTATTTTAATAGTTCTGCTTGATAGAACTTAAGTGTTTCTATAAGGCTATTAGACTTCAACTACCATATCAAAGCATATCCAGAGTGTTCAAATTAGTGAGTCAAGATTATATATTTAATTTATAGGTCTGGATTAGCTCTGGGATGATGACACTTAAAGCTTAAGTGTTGCACAATCGTTCCTTTCATGTGTTGTGCAGGGCAACAGGGGTGCTTTTGCATTTTTTAAATTTTAACTGCTTCCCAGTTCGGAGCTTCTTAAATGTGAGTGGGCATTTTTAGACGATCTCACCCATCCCGCTCGTTTGCGCTGCTGGGTGGCGCGCATAAGCGGGAAAATTGCTGAAATTGTAAACAGCCAGCAATGGCTGTTTACATTCAAGCTCAATGGTGGCTGTAGAGCCACTGGATCGCTTGTAATATGCATGTGGGTGTCCTCCCCCCCCCCTCCGCTGCCCACGGTCCCAAGCTCCGCTGTGCCCGGTGTGGACCTGGGACCCACATGGCGGCTCTGTCACCGGAGATCAGAGGGAGATAACATGATCTTCCTCCGATCTCTCCTCCATGCTCTGAATGCAGGAAGTGATGTATATTACAACACTTCCGCATTAAGCTGTCATTCTCCGGCTTCTGTAGCTGGAGAGAAGATCTCTGCTTCATCAGCTTATTTGGGGTCCCTAGGTGACATTAGGGGTCTAAGAGACCCCTAATGTTTCCATAAAGAAGAGATCTGTATGTATAAATTAGCTATCACATAGGGGGTTTTTTTATCCCCCTATGTGATAGCAATAAAGGTAAGTGCTAAAAAAAGTTTATAAAAAATAAAGTTAAAAAAAAACAATTAGTCACAAAAAAAAAAAAAAAAAAAAAAAAAAAACGTTTTTAAAGACCCCCGCCCCCACACACACACAAACATGCATTGGGTGCACCAAAATGATTGCAATGATTGCCCATTGCACCACACATGTTACATATCACCGGGAATGTCGGAGTGAGAACAGTAATTTTAGGGCCATCAGTCACTGTTAACATTAAACTGATGAGCGGTAAAAATTTTAAAGCGTTCCCTATGGCCAATTTTGGGTATGGTATTTTTTGCGATTTTGCGGGCGCACGCAATTTTAAAGCTTGACATGTTTACCCAGCGTGACCCCAGTCATTATATTGTTCCAAATTTTGGGTAAGAATAAATGTTTTTCAATATAACATAGAAAAAAATTTAACTACATTTTCAGTACGTTTTTCATTATATAGTAAAAAATAAAAATCCCACTGGTGATTAAATACCACCAAAAGAAAGCTCTATCTGTCCCCAAAAAAGGGTATAAAATTAATTTCAGTACAGCGTTGCATGACAGAAGAAATGTCAGTCAAAGTACTGCAGCTCTGAATACTGAAAAATGACCTTGCCAGGAAGGGGGCATAAGCACCTGGTTTTCAAGTGGTTAATTTACTTTAACATATTTAAAACATTTTTAAAATGTTTTCATTTTTTTTCTATAACTTATTGCTATCACATGGGGATAATAAGCCTCCTATGTGATAGGTTAAAGATTCAACAGCCACCCTGATCATTTTTGCATTAAAGTCCCTGGGCCTGCTGAGCCCTGAGTTTGTTTCATCCTCTTGAAACCTGGATGTACCAGACACATCCAAAGAGCTCAAGGGGTTAAATAAATAAATATAAAAAAATACACATTTCCTATAATAACAATTAGGGGTGATATACACTAGAAAACCTGTCACGCCTCCTGTAGAACAAAGATTGAAGAGATTAAAAAAAAAACAATCCCAGATATATGCTAGTTATATACTTCTGGATTGCAGAATTCCAAGACAGTAGTCCACATGAATTCTCAATATAACTATATGCACCAGGAGTTATAGTTCTTCCTGTGTTAAGGTGGCCATACACGGTATGGGCAGTGGTACAACCGCAAATACTGTACAATCGATTGACTTTTGACTAACCAGCAG